TGTGGACGCACTATTCCGAGAGAGGAGAGAGGGGGAGGGGGGAGGGGGAGAGGGGGAGGGGGAGAGGGGGGAGGGGGAGAGAGAGAGACACAGAGAATATGAAAGGTTGGGGTACCTGTCCTGAACAAAATGGGAAAAGTTTTGATGGAAGGGAAGAGAGACAGATTTCAATAAAGCCCTAGACAGAGCAGCCTGAGGATCCCTGTAAAACTGAGTATAGGGTGGAGGTGGAGTGGATGTTTAATAGGGGAGAGAAATTGACTCTCTTCACAATTTTGCTTCCATTAATACCTAAACCCTGGGGCTCCATTTCAGTTTCCAGTAGTCCTATGTTGGAAACTCACCTCCAAAGTACAAGCTTCCCTGGCACACCACCAATTACATAATGGTCTTTTAAAAACAAGTCAACTTTGGTATCATCTACTCAGCTGGCATATACCTTCCTTACCTGGTACCACCCCCATTCTTAGAATTAAAGAAAAAAGGCCGGGCGCGGTGACTCACGCCTGTAATCCCAACACTTTGGGAGGCCGAGGCGGGTGGATCATGAGGTCAAGAGATGGAGACCATCCTGGCCAACATAGTGAAACCCCATCTCTACTGAAATACAAAAATTAGCTGGGTGTGATGGCGCGCACCTGTAGTCCCAGCTACTCGGGAGGCGGAGGCAGACTTGAACCTGAGAAGTTGCCGTGAGCCGAGATCGTGCCACTGCACTCCAGACTGGCGTCTGGCGACAGAGCAAGACTCTGTCTCGAAGAAAGAAGAAGAAAAAAGGCGACTCCTAACGTCCCTTCTACTCACTTTCCTCTCTATTCACTTACTAAGGCCACATCTTACGTCTGCTGTTCTTTTTTCCATACTACTCTCTCAACTCCTTTCATATCTGCGATAAATTTAAGGTCGTTTGGGTTCCTCTCATTTAAAAAGTTCAACAGAAGTGTCTTGCAACACCTTAAAGTTTAGGGCTAAGCTCTTTAGCGTTTCTTTACCCACTTCCTCCGCTCAATTCTTCTAACCATTGAAATGAAGGCTATGAATATCTCGTCTTAGCACGGTGCCAGGCATGCAGGTGTTCGAACAAATCTTAAATGAATCTTAGTTATTAGATAACAGCATTGTCTGTAAAACTCAGAAATTTCTTAAAAATCGATTCCTAAAATTTAAAAAGCTCGTAAGTTTTTTAGTCTGCAATTACAATTCCTGAAATCTTCTATTCATGAAAGACTACGAAATTCTAAAAAGCGACATAAAGCGTAAAAAGCCACTCGGAGGTTTGTGTAATTTACCATGTTCTGTCTTCTTTTAATTCATTCATAATCTGTCAGGATACAAGGAGCAAAACTAGTTTGTGTTGTATCTTAGAATTGAGTAGTTACACACTCATTAGGTTTCAGAATCGTTAAAAATTTTATCTTGTTTAGGAAACTGCTTACCTTGGAAGGGCAAATTGCCATTTCTCGCCATCTGGGCACCAGAGACGCAAGGGAAGCCCCACTAAACATCACTTCCACGCCCCCATATTATGCTAAGAAACTTCTAGTTGACTCCTTAGGCATTTCAGCAGTGTTTTTGGCCCGTACTAGGAACTGAGGAGAGGTATAGAAAGGGACCAAGTGCAGAGTCCCGGCCCCAAAGAGGTTACGATGCAAATAGACGCAGGCTCGGAACTCAGAACAAAAGCGGTGACTGCATAATAAGGCACTGCTGGGGGTGGGGGATGGGGAGCTGCACGCAGGTTGTTACTTCGGGAAAGCAGTTTCCAGGCGGTGAGAGTTTAAGCCAGACCTGAAAGAGGTTGATTTGTAATGATTTGCAGGAGGCCACTGGAGGCAGCGGCCAGGATTTGCACTTAGGAGATCAACGTGTCCCGTGGTGGAAAAGTGGGAGGTCATACAGGGACTGGCTTCTGAGTGTCCAAAGGTCTACCTGGGGAAAGACTGATTTTGAGGTTTTAATAGGTAAGTTTGGGGACATCATTGATGAAGGTGGGCAGGGAAGGAGGCTTCTTTTTTTTTTTTTTAACATTAGAGTAAAAAACTTAGATTCGATGAGATGGGTAAAACACAAATGGGAAAATTTAAGGGGAAGAATGATTATGATTGTTATGTAAAAATAAACTTGCAATAGAGAGGTTCTGGAACTCAGGAAATGAGCTAGAGCATGCTATAATTAAGGCCTAGCTAGTGAGGATCAGGAATAAAATGGTAGCTGAGGAAATTTCAAAGTTGAATAAGCAGTAATAAGTATGAAAAAAAAAAAAAAGCTAAACTACAAACATCTGCTCCTTAATTACTAACACTAGAAAAGAGAATTTCTTGTCTCTTCTTTCCACTCCGCACCTCTTCCTAGCTTACATGATTGTATTCAAGGCGTTTTATTGAAGACACTGTTCAGCACTCTCCACCTTATCCCTTACACAGCCTGCCTTTGCTTTTCTTCCCATTTCACTCTTTCTCTTCATTTATTCACATCATTTTAGTCCTTAAAAGACCCCTCCCAATTACTAGATCAGAGGGAGGCAAACTAAGACTCTTCATATCTCCCAAATGACCTTCCAGAATGGCTTTATGTCATTATAATTGGAATGCAAGAGTTTTTCTTTTTCTTTTATTAATATTTTGCTTGCAAGGAATTACAGGAAAACCCCTATTGCATGCCAGAAATACTTACATTTTAAATATTTCATCTTAAGAGATGACTTCACGTAATGCTTTTTTTTTTTTTTTTTTTTTTGAGACGGAGTTTCACTCATGTTACCCAGGCTGGAGTGCAATGGCACGATCTCGGCTCACCGCAACCTCCGCCTCCTGGGTTCAGGCAATTCTCCTGCCTCAGCCTCCTGAGTAGCTGGGATTACAGGCATGCGCCACCATGCCCAGTTAATTTTTTGTATTTTTAGTAGAGACAGGGTTTCACCATGTTGACCAGGATGGTCTCGATCTCTTGACCTCGTGATCCACCCGCCTCGGCCTCCCAAAGTGCTGGGATTACAGGCTTGAGCCACCGCGCCCGGCCCACGTAATGCTTTTAATGCATTTTAGAAATTCAGGTGGTGGGCAAAAGTACAAGACAGGAGTTAGATGTTTTGAGTGGGAGGAGTACACTGGGGCCATTATTGAATCAGAATTATTATGCACTTCAATATATAGAAAAAAAGAATGAAATGAGTATTAAATTACGCAAATTTATCCCCTATCTTGAATCTTTATTTGCATGACTACATTTTAAGCAGTTGTAACCTTCGTACATATTTGCTATTTTTTCAAGTATGAATTGATTAGACACTATTGCTATTTTGTTATCTATTTTGTTGACATAAGAACTTCCTGTGTTACTGTGTCAGATTTTTTTTTTTTTAATGGCGCTTCACTCTAATTGCCCAGGCTGGAGTGCAATGGCGCCATCTTGGCTTACTGCAACCTCCGCCTCCTGGGTTCAAGCGATTCTCCTGCCTCAGCCTCCCGAGGAGCTGGAATTATAGACTCCCGCCACCACGCCCAGCTAATGTTTCATATTTTTAATAGAGACCGAGTTTCATTATGTTGGCCAGGCTGGTCTCAAACTCGTGACCTCAGGCGATCCACCCGCCTCCGCCTCCCAAAGTGCTGGGATTACAGGCGTCAGCCACCGCGCCCGAACTCGCCATCAGATCTTAATTAGTCATTTCCTTTTAGTTAGAATCCCGCCCCACACCTCCCCGCCTTCAGTTTTTCAGTGTTTGGATAATATGCTGTGAATACCTTTGAGCACCCATTTCTTTATTCAGCTCATACCACTGAAAGATACTACTCATAATAAAATTGTTGAAGAAAAGATAGGAACCATTTTATAGCTTGTCTTACATATTGCAAAATTTTGCACTGTATTGATGTATTATTAACTTTGCATCTTTGTCTCTTTTTAAGCTCTCCTTGGAGAGTTTTTACATTTTCAGTATGCTCCACAGGGTGGCCAAAGTAGAACTGGCTCATCATTGAGCATAGGTTCAGCTAAAAACAATCTGTCTCAGAGCTGAGCAAAAAGAATCCAATAAATATTAATGGATTAACTTTCAGGTACCTCAGCCTTGACTTGCCTGGAAGATTTCGCCTCCTTGATCTATTTCTTCTTTTTCTTTTCGGTATCTACTTCATTATTTAAATGGGCAATTTCGGGTTAGGCAGTTCTGGATAGCAGTCCCTATCCTGTGCCCGTTCTGGAACCTCTCTCGCCTTTTTTGCTATGCAAGGAAGCCCAATTCACAGTCGTCATCGCCACTAAAGTTACACCAGGGGTCATCTCAAGAAGGAAACGTTTTCTGTGAGAATTTCTATGCAAGTGAATTGGGGAAGGCTTTAAAGATAACGGAAGTGGCACGCGTTTCTCCCAAACAATTCGACGCTGTGTAAATCACAGAAATTCCGGGAAGGACTAACGACGTCCGTGGATGATTCTGCGGCTCACAGGCACACAGGGCACGCTCAGTTTACCCTCCCCGGCCCCGACGACCACCACAGGTGCGAAGCCCGCCCGGGTAGGCAGCGTTTGCTGTCCCCGCAGAGCGGGTGCGGGGGCGGGGCCTGCCGCGCGTCACCGCTGTCGTAGCCGCCAGACCGGGTCTCCGCGGCCGCCGAACCGGGGGACTGGGGGCCAGGGTGAGCGTCAAGATGGCCGCCCCGGCTCGGGCTGGTGAGTGTGCTCGAGGGCGCGCGGCCGCGGCGATTGGCTGAATGGGGCCGCCTGCGGGAGCGGCCCCCGGGGCCGGCAGGCACCTGGGGGCGTGTTCCCGCCGCGCGGGGCGCTGGGGGGTCCTGAGGGAGGGGGAGACAGAGGCTGCGGGCGCGCTGAGGGGAGCCAGCCGAGGGGCGCGCGGCGGCTGCAGGTCCGGCGATTTTTGAATTGGCACCCCTGGGAAGTTTCGGTGGGTTCTGCGGCGCTCCGGCCCTGTCCCGGCGGCCACCTCACGAGTGCCCGGAGATGCAACTGGCTGGAGGGGCGGGCTGGGAAGAAGGAGCACGGGCGGGGGCTTGGGGGACGCGGAGGGGCTGCGCGCTGACCCCGGCCCCAGCGTTGCGGGGCTGGCGCGGGCTGGGCGCTGTGTGGAGCACGCACTGCCGGGGTCCAGCCGCACCCTCCCTGCCGCGGGGATTACAGTGAGGTGATGCTCTAAGCCCCGGGGCGCTTCGGGCAAGCGGTTCTGGCGCTTGGTTTGGAAGGAATGCGCGTCCGGGCGTCTTGCCCGCCTACTCTCCATCGATCGGTCCCGGCACCTGCTGCAGCTTAAGATCCCAATGCGTGAAAATCCACTTCCTAAAACTATTCTCGATAGCCTTCGATGAGAAAAAAATGCCATGTGACTGAATTCATTACGTGGGATATGAAACCTGTCAGTGTGGGCGGAGGGGAACCTGTTAGTATGTTAAATTTTAAGAGTAGGTAAGACACCATCCCTTGCCCCCAGGAAAAAAGAAAGTGAAACATAGTAATTGTTTCAAATGCAAGTTTCAGCTGTTAAATTCTATTGATAGCTGGATAATTTCTTGGTTTTAATATTAGAAGCAAAACCATTTAGGAATTCTTGGGAAATTCACTTTTTTCCTCAGACTCCCGCCACCTTTTAAATCTTAATTTTAAAAAAAAATCTTATTTTTTTCCTCAAGTCCCCCACTCCCGCTACCTTTTAGATCTTAATTTTTGTCTCTGGGAAAGAAACGGGGATTGTGAAATTAGCATGGAAATAAGACCTTCAGGTCCTGCGCTTGAATCCCTTATTATCTGTTAAGTAGCTGCCTGTGGGGGTGAAAGTGACTTTTGGGGCCTGGAATTCCATTTTGAGTTGTGTTCAAAACGAGCATTTGCTGTAAACAAGGAGAAAGAATGGGCTGTTCACTGTGGTGAAGTTCGGAAAGCCAAATAGGAGTTAAGCACAGGTTTATTTCATAATCTCAATGAGATTCAATATTCCGTTGCCTTGAAAGAGATGAAAGTTTGTATTCTTGGAACCCTAATCGTTTTGTTCTTAATTCAGCATCTCGGGATATTTGAAAGAGCTTTTAAACGTTTTGGCACTTGCAGGTTTTCTCTCTCCATTCTAGTGTTTTTGGTACTAGCCATTAGTTTTGCATATGTTCGATGTCAAATATTTTAGTCCAGTATTTATCACTGTGGACTATCCAAATTCAAATGTGGAGATATTCTAATATCAAAAAATTAGTCCAGTGCATACAATTTAGAAAGTTGAAATGTTTTGACTACTTTGTATATCAGTCTTGTTTTTCTTCCCAAATGTTAATTGTTTGAGATTTTTTAGCTTAAAAAAGTTTAAATGATAAGTGAACCCACATTTAGTGTAATATACAATGGTACGCCTTTTGGAATACTTAAAATGGAAAATCTGTTGAAGATTTGGGTTAGATATTTGAAATAAATTTTCTACCTAGTTGTCTTTCTCCTTTTTCTACAGACTTACCTTTTCTGTACTACAAAGAAAGAAAAAGTGTCATACACTCAACCAAATTTTCCTCTACACATTTGAATCTTACTATTACAGCGTTTTGGTTCTGCATAAGAGAATTTTCTGCTCATTGGGTTGTTTGAAGACAGAGTCTGTGTTTTATTTGTGTATCTCTAGTACCTGACTGCTTAACATGGCGGAAAAACCCCTGTGAAAGTTTGTTGAATTGGGGTTTTGAATGGTAGAGGTACAAAAGTTTGGCTTCTTGGTAGCCCAAAAAAGAAAAAAAAGTGCTTTGAGTTTTCTGTCCTTCCTGCAGTGTTAAGACAGAACAAACGTGGGTGCCAGATTCTAATGGAGTTGTCTGGTCCAGGGAGATTACCGAGAGGCTGGGGCATGGGCTCAGGAGTATCAAGACAGGAGATAAATCATGTGCCTGAATAATTCTCTGAATTCAGTAATGGGGAACAGTTTTGCTATTAGGCCCAGGCTAAATAGGTGACAAATAACTGAAATATATGAGGATTCAACAAATAATGGCTTTCTGGCTAAAAGATCGTTGTAAAGGTGTAACTGATATTCACAGCAATTTTAGACCCATAGAAAACTTTATTAGGAAGAATTCATTATTAATGGAGTTTTACACATCATAGGAAAAAGCTATTTTATAGTCTAACGATATGCTTGTTAGGCTAGATCATAGATGTGCTAGAATGACAGAGTCTAGGCATTTTATACACAGAATATTTGAATTCAATTTTTGAGACCCACAGTAGGATGCTCAGTATTTTTCTGTTTCTCCCATTGTTATGAAGTTAGCTGGAGTAGATTGACGTGTAAATACGTTGATGTCTCACTAATGATAACTGTTTTGGAACAAAATTACTTCTTAGGTAGGAATGAGGTGAGAAATCCAAATAACCTGGAGGCAGAAATTACTTTCAGGAGCTTTATCTTACAACGGGTTCAACTAGATTCAATCTCTGCTGCAGAAGAGGCATGTTAGAGACATGAGGAAGGCCCGAGGGAAAAGGGTGTCCTTTATTGTTTAATGAGTTTCAAGCGAGATCGGGGTAATTATAGATTCTAGATCTCTAAAGGAAGAAAGAATAACCAGGGCCTTTCTAGGGATAAAGGAAAGGAAATACATCATGATTGACATGGAGAGGTGCCAAAGCACATAATGGACATAATAGCAAACCTAAGAGGGAGTAGGGAGGGTTTGAGAGCCCATTGTGTTCATTCGTTGAGTAATTTGTTCATTCAAAAATATTGAACCCCTTTCTGTGTACCAAGCACTATGCTTGACCCTTGGCATTTTACAAACATTTCTTAAGAGGATAGAGTACTATGGTGGTTCTGTGAATTAAATGGAAAATGGAAAACTGCTTATAGGAATGGGTAAGATTTACCCTAATTACTACAAACTATGGGTAAAGTTGTTTTCATTTTTATTCAAATGCATTGTGGTGGTTAGTAATTCCTAAGGCCTACTTCCTATCGACCATTTCCTCCTATCTTTTATTATGGAAAATAACAAATCATACAACTTTTAATAGCCTGTAGGGGATCTGTTTAGTGTGTTACTGTTTAAAGAAAAATGTTTTGTTACAGAAATTATCTTCATTAAAATAAAATAGGCAACATATTCTCCCTCTAGGAGACTTCAAGATTTTTTTTTTAATGAGATGCTTGCTGTGACACTTTTATTTTAAAATTTATTCTATTTTATGCCCAGTGGTACTTATATTTCTTCTTTCTTTAATAGAGGTAGAATATATATGTGTTTGTGTAAAATATGCATGCCCATTTCTTATGAAAATAGTTTATATCCTGATTATGAAGAGTTTTAAAAATTAAACATTCACAGTAAGATTTGTTAAAAACGTCTTAACAAAAGATGTTTGAAAAGTGGTTCATCATATATGAGAGGAGAAAAGCATATATTGTTCCAAAGTTTAAAGGCTTTTATGTGCCACGTTAAGAAGTTTAGATTTAGCTTGTGGTCTTTCAAGACTTTAAACAATCTTAATGTTTATAAAATAATGGCTATTTTAGAAATAGCTTAATATTTATAAAATTGTGATGGTAAAACATTAAGATATAAAATGTAAATATTGTATGATGATTATTTGACTAAGAATGAGCTATGGAGGGGAAGCTTCTTCATAGTGAATAAAAATGTTATCTCAGTGTCTAATCAGATTTTAGCATATAGATTCTTTTTTTCTTTATTTTCTCACCCTACACAGTTGTATACATTAATTCTTTTTAGGAATGCATTTTAGCCATTTCCCTTATTCTGTCGCTTTATTAAATAGTAATTTAATCTGGCTGTTTTTTTGTTTTTGTTTTTGTTTGTTTTTGATGTTTATTCTTCATGGTAACTTCCTGACATGTATTAAATTGTTGTGGTTTTTTTGTTTTTTGTTTTTTTTTGAGACGGAGTTTCGTTCTTGTTGCCCAGGCACTCACTGCAACCTCCACCTCCCAGGTTCAAGCGATTCTCTTTTTTCAGCCTCCGGAGTAGCTGGGATTACAGGTATGTGCCACCACACCCAGCTAACTTTTTGCGTTTTTAGTAGAGACGGGGTTTCTCCATGTTGGTCAGGCTGGTCTTGAACTCCCTAGCTCAGATGATCTGCCTGCCTCGGCCTCCCAAAGTGCTGGGATTACAGGCATGAGCTATTGCACCCGGCCTTATTAAAATATTTCTTAAAGAAGGAATCTGAAAATTGAGTTACTAATTATACCAATTATATCTATATTATATTATTCATACCATTGACATCTGGTACCTGATACCCTCCTGTAAGAACCTCCAGGGCCTACAGCTGTATAGTCCCATTCCATGTTTTCTTTCAATGTGTCTTAATAAACTGAGGTAGAAAGGAAGTGGCTGGCTGAAAAGTTTGTTATGTCAAAGATAACTAAAATTTACAGTAGAATGTTCGTTTTTGAAGTAAAAAAATTTAGCCACCCTTCTGATTTTTCAGTGATTCTTGTAGCTTTCAAGTAGCTGGGGACTATAGGCATGTACTGCCACATGTGGATTTTTAAAAATTATTTTAATAGTGATGAGATCTCATTATATTGTTGGGAAAAAATCCCTCTTTTTAAACTAGAGGCAAGGTCTTGCCATGTTGCCCAGTTTGGGACTTACTGTTTCTTTTCTTTCTTTCTTTCCTTTTTTTTTTTTTTTTTTTGGCAGTGTCTGTCACCCAGGCTGGAATAC